CAACACTTTTAACACTCCGATATAAAAGTTTTGAATAAAACGACTTTGAATATTTCTCCTAAGCCGGCACTAATTAATATCCAATAGCGTAAAAAGAATCCAATGGGAATCCACTAAGATTCCTACTTTTCTAAAGAGATTGCATGCAGCGCCTCTATGTTAAATTGTTCCCAAATCGTGAGGAACTACGTAGTGACTACCGGGTTCATATGGTTCTGTGTTAGATGGCGCCACCGTCCGCAAACGTTTGACAGTTCTCAACGACTCATATATATATACTAGCTGTCCCAGATTGTATGGGAATTGAATATATAAATGTATATATTGATTTATACATGATTGTATATATACTAGCTGTCCCAATTTGTATGGGAATTGGATATATAAATGTATATATCAATTTATACATGATTATATATGTCCTAATTGCCTTAGTTTGTATGAAAATTTGATATATAAATGTATATATTGATTTATACATGATTATATATATATATGTTTTTGTCAAATAACTCAAAAATTTCATATGGAACCAACCCTTTTCAGTTAGGTAGGGTAAAACTAGATAAAATTTACTACGTTTCCTAAGAAACACTTTTATACACTCCGATTAAAAAAGATGCAATATATTAATCACCACTCTCAATTCTCAAATTTATGGTTAATTTATTCTGTCTTATAAAATGCTTTCCAGTTCTTGCAAACGCATTTTAAAGTTGGCTTATTTTAAAATAATATCAATTCATTTGGCATATGTATTTATATTTATATTATGGCAGTAGGGATGTATATTTTTTGTTTTTTACATTACATATACTGAAGTCAAAACATTTAGTCACAAATTAATCTTTTTGCGAAGGCGATACGTATCTTAGATGAGTCAATTTACGGGGCGACTTGGCACGACAGTGTTTTTGCTGAAAAATACAAATAATAATGTAGACATTACATTTTTCTTATTCATAATAATAAATATATTATATTTTAATTTTGTCTTAGCCTATAAGTGAATGGAAATGCTTGGCAAATGACAGTCTGCATTTGTTTTTAATGCCAAACTATGCTTCAAATATTCTCAATGTCAATCAATGATGAGAGGTTTTTAGTATTTTTTTCCATTTATTTATACAATCTAACTATATTTCTATGAATCAAAAAATACTAAAAAAATCCCTTAATTTGTATTTTAGATTTAAAAGTTACTTACACAAGTCTTGTTACGTTTTCTCCGACATATCCTTACAAAAGACCGACAGCACGGATTCATTTCTTCATCTGTAGAATCTAAACAAAAATATTGAAATTATAATCATTAACTTCCCGTAGGGTAGTTATAGGAATGATATAAAAATATTTTTGCAATTTTGGATTAAAAATTCAAAAAGGCTAAGCACAGTCTAAGCGCTACTTTGGTACAAATGTTGACCCAAGTGCGTTTAGACTGTTTATGTAATGGAACACTTTTCCAATTTTGTGAAAACTATTAAAAAACGTGAAAATGCCGCCAAGCTAAGCACAGTATAAGTGAAAATGTCGCACAGAATTATTTGAAAATGCGTTCAGACTGTGACTATACGGGAGCAATTTTTTTTGTGCAAGTTAAGGCAACTATTTTTTTTTTGAATTGAATTCGAAATGAAAGACGATTGTTGTTAATGTCTGGAGATAAATTGATTTATGATTTATGATTTACATTTGATTTGCTCAGATATAACAATAAGATAGTAAAAATAATGAAAGTTACAGTATTTGTAATAATATATTTGAAAACGTTTAAAATTTCTCGAATTTTCATTACGGTACGGAAGTTCCAGCAATTTGCCTTAAAGCACGATGCCATACACCACTAGTTTATTCGTAAATTATTTGATAATTAAAATATTTTACCATCCCGTGGATAATGCCGGTGTCTCCTATCACATTGGCAATTGGGGCACTTGTGTTTTGTATCCAGCATGGTGAAACCGACTGATCTGCAATTAAATATATATATATAAATATATAATATCATATATATATATATATCGTATATATAAAATTCTTCTCTAATGGGATATAAAAGGTTAATCCTCCTAAACGATTATTCGGATTTTCATAAATCTTTCTGAAGTTTGTTAAGGGAATTTTCTAGGATTTTTTTATTCATAGAAATATAGTTAGATTGCAGAAATAAATGGAAAAAATTACAAAAACCGCTTATCACTGATTGACATTGAAAATATTTCAGGCATTGTTTGATATTAAAAACAAATGAAGATTGTCATTTGCCAAACATTTCCATTCACTTACAGGCTAAGGCAATATTAAAATATAATATATTTATTATTATGAATAATAAAAATCTAATGTCTACATTATTATTGCCGAAAAGCAGCTGAGTTGTGTCAAAAATTAAAATAATATAATAAAATACAGTCAGCATGCGTCTGAGGGTTGTGGATTGTTAAGGATTGCACATATGATTCTATTTGAAAGATGATTATTTTTTAACTAATGCATTCGTGTTTTGCTATACTTTACTAAATCACAATGCAAAAAAAATTACTTATTCAAAAAATTATTCAGAAGTTTCATTGTGTCAACAATTTATATGTTTGTCATTGGATTCGGAATATTTACTCAAGTCAATGGAGCGTTTTGGGTCTGACATTTTTTGCTGTGCTCAAATTTGCATGAAATTTTGGAATTAGGTTCATCTTACTCGTCAAGTAAGTTCACCAGTTTCCGTGGTGTAATTTTACTTTTTTTTTTAAATAACGTTTGATATCGATAAGAGTACTAATTATAAGAAAAATGTTTAATATTATTTTTCAAAAAAGCAAATACTTTTCAAGTTACTGGCTACTGAAAATTTGTTTCTTTACTGCGTTTTTCATCGTTTTTTACTAATATCTTCAAAAATATACATTTTAACGAAAATCATATAATGATCAAAATTACATCAATTAAAATCTTAATAAATCGGTGTTCTAAGTGTTCTAGAAACAATATTAGGCTAGATATGAAAATGGGGTTTTATAGTCCTCAAAATAAGCTTTAAAATGAGTACTTCTGCGTGTAAAATGAGTGAGCTATCATGCAAATAAAAGACGCTTACAATGCTTTTTAATTTAATTATAATAATTTAAATAATTATTCTTTCTTAATTTGTTATACCCTTTAAAAGACTTCAATTTCCAATTTGTATATCTTATGCTATAAATCAGAAAGGCAGACGATGATTTTTTGTGCGAAAAATTTAGAAAATCAATGTTTTAGTTGTGAATAAACAAAAAAACATTCATTTATACATCCACATCTACAGGTATGACTAAAAATATTGTATAACCCTTGGCATTAAAATAAATCGAGCTATTGGAAATAAAT